AAAGTAATCTGCAGGGCTGGAAGGTGCTTTTGTGTCATGGACCTAGCAGAAAGAATAGTGTGATCATTGCTCCCTGCATGTAGGGCTCTGTGCTGCAAGAATTAGTCTCTCCCAGTGCTGCCTGCTGGAGCTTGGGCAATCCTCTCTTAGTAGTCACCCTAATAGTTGCTCCACCAAAATATCTGCAGAACTTCTCATCAATGTGACTTTTTATACTAGAAGATAAGGACCCAGCAACTGAACTGGAGCTTGTAAGCAGTGACCTAGTAGCTCCTTTGAGTTCAGTAACTCACCTTTTTCTATTAGCCAGGCAACCTCGATTATTTTCAACAGAGTAGACAAATTAAGTTAGCTCCAGAAGTCTGTGTTGTTATGACGTGTAGTAGGGATATTGACTGTATCCCCAACATGTTCAGGTCCACCTCCCTATTTGCACCATTCAGCCATAGTTGGGTCCATCAGTAAGGCACTGAGTATGGGACATTGCTGCTGCTGCTCAGCCTGCTCCAGGCTTTACTCAGTGGTGTAGATCAAGCACTTCTTTATCCCTGAGTATCCTTCCTCTGTACCAGGTCCTGTCTCAGCAAGCACACACTGCTCTGGGTCGATTTTCCCATGCACTGACCTGTGCCTCTATGCTCCTTGGGCACAGCTCATCCAGGCTGAATTCACACCTCTGTAGAGACAACATCCACACTTGAGCTCTCCTCTTCTCTGGCACTCAGTAGAGAGAGGTCATCAGTTTTGAGGTATGTGTTATGTAATTTGCCTTAGATGTTGCTTTAAAATGAGTTCCCTAGGCTAGAGAGGCCAGGTCTCCATCACCTCTGCTGTCCATGTCTGCTCAGACAGACCATTGTCTTTACTTAATTCCTTCCAGAACTGCTCCTTCAAGCAGCTGTTTGCTCGTTATCATGTGCTTGGATATCCCACTGGAGACAACAGGGACTAGAAATATTGCAGCAAGGAACCCTTGCTGTAATAACGGGCCGTTAATCAAAGGCATTCCCAGCACAGTGAATCCCAGCAAGAGCCGCCTGCGGACGCAGGGTTGGATCTCTTTGGCAAGATTTAGGGGAGTGAAAAATGGAGATCAACATTGCAAACAGCACCCTGAGGAGTAGGTTGGGTTTCTTACTGGCAGGGAGGCAACACTTTCAGAGAATACACCCAAAACATTGTTATTGTGATTTGTTTAACCACTGCTCCCAGGGAAAAGCCTCTGGGCTTCTGTGAGATAAGGGGAGGCTGGGTTGTCTTCTCCAGAGCTAAACCAAATTGCAAAGATACTGCTGGTCCTGACTTTTATCATATAAGCTTACTTTTCCTTGTGAAAGATCAGCATAAAGCCTGAATAGAACTAGGAGTACATGGGCTTGTCTTAGCTTTTGGGACAAAGACAATTTCCTGTATTTAGGGCACTTTGTCCTGTGATGCCTGTGATGCACAGATGAACCCCTTCTCCTCCTACCCATTGCCAATGTACACAGAAATAACAACTGGGTGGGACTTAGAACAATACCAGTTTGCTGTAAACATGGACCTTAAAAATCTTTTTATTTTAACACCTGTGTCCATGTTCTAGGCTGTTTCTATTCTTTAGCAGGCAACTTGGGTCTGAAGCTGCCTGCTTCTCTTGGCTGAGTTTAGCACATGACACTCAGGACTGTTCTGCTTAGTGGGATCCTGGCCAAATGCTGATCCTGCTGGAAGGTGCCTGATGTAAGGAGCCTGGAGGAGTAAGGGTTTTTATCTAATGCTCAAGCAGGTACCATCACTAAAGACTTAGTTACTAATAGCCAGGCCAGTGTCCTCTACCTCAGTCCCGTCCAAGTGCCTTCAGTCCTGGAGAATCTACTGCTGCTCCCAGGATTCACCTGATCTTTGCCTTCCAAAGATTCCAGTTGCCAACTTCAGGCATGGCTGGCTGAGAGCAAGCAGGGAAGGAGATTAATTTTACAGGATGTCTTTTTTGTCTTTGATCCTACAAGGATAAAATGTGGAAAGGTAAAAATGTGTGATTTGTTAATATGATTTTTTGTACTACCTAGAGCCAGATGAGGTGAATAATACAAAAGCAGAGATCAAAACAGTGATACATTCAAGTCATTGAATTTTAATATCTGAAGGGACCATTCTGGGCTGATCTCTGGTGAATGTAGGCCCCTTAAACTTCATCCTCCTACCTCTGTGTTGAGCCCAGTAAGTTGTGTTTGCCTAAGCCATGGCTTCCAAAAAAGCCTTCAAGTCTGGATTCAGAGTTACTAAGGGACAGAAATTCTACTGCTTCCCTTGGTACCTATTCTAATGATTCATGCCCTTCTGTTTAAAACGTGGGGTTTGTTTCCCACTGGACTTTACTTGGTGTGTGGTTCCTGGGTATTAGCTCTAGTGGTGACTTTCTGTTAGATCAAAGAGCCCTTTAGCATCAGCAGCTTCTGCTTGAAACAGCATTTGTGCACTGTTGTCAACTTCTCAGTCTTTTTTGGGGTTCTGTTGTTACAATAATTAGTTTCAGGCTTTTTAGTCTCTCCCCCACAGGGCATTTCCTCCAAGCCCCAGCCAGTGGATATTCTGTACCATCTTTTTCTGCCAGCCCAGAGGTGCACCCAGGATTCCCCTTGCTCACTCACCACGGGTAAGCAGAGATGAATCACCCTTTGGTTCCATGCCAGATGAGGGCAGCAACTCTCCTGAGTGACACAACATCCAGTTGTCAGGCATTCTCTGCATCCCGTGTATAATTTTATTTTTTATTTTACTGACATATAGTCTGTTTGGAAACACACTGTATCTAACACTGACCCCTGTAGACACTCGTTAGAAATACCTCCAACATCAGTGTCCCTCAGGTGGCTCCTTTCAAAGACCTGCCAGAGAGGCTTTTTCTAAGCCATTTTAATGTATGTATTACTGACATTACATATCTTCATATCATGGAACTCTGTGGAAGCCAAACCTTATCAACATCTACTTACATTATGTTACAACCATGTAGGCAACTTTATCAGACCAACTTAGAATCATGCCAGCTAATGAAATCAAGTTTGGAAGCACCTGTTTTAGAGACAAGTGCCTCAACTAGGATTAATATTCTGCCTATTCTTCAGTGCTTATGAACTGAAGTCTGTATCAGATTTTCCATTCTCTTGCCTGGAATTTGTGTCAATCAAAATAGTGTGGATTTAGGAGGCTCATCATTGTATAACTTGGCTGACTATTGTATTTGGGACCTGCCCCAGTGCTCCAGCACAGATTATAAATGAACATCATTGGGCCAGCGATTTACTCAGCTAGCTCTTTAAGGACTCTTGGGTATGGGTGTTTAGCCAAGCTGATTTCAGACTGTTTATCCCTAGCAGATGGTGTTCCCAATTCTCCTTGCTTGCTCATGAGCAGAAGGCACTTCATTGCCCCCCACAGCCCATCCTGTGGGCATGTCCCCCTGCCTTCAGCCTGGTGCTGACTGCCAAGCACTGTGACCTCCTCTGCAGCCTGGCAGGGACTTGGCCATCAGTAGAGGGAAATGGTGAAGTCATCTGTCATGAACTGCAGAAGAGGTTCATTGCTTATGCAGATACCATTCCTGATGGGAGAGACACCCAAACAGACACACAACTCCACTGTTTCTCCCTGAGGTTGGCATTGGCTTGAAATTTTGTTCCCAGGACCAGCAGAAATTAAGACATGTTCATTTGATCTTGTTCAGCCCTAGGGCTGCAAGCTGAAGCCTCTGTGCTTCTCTGCCAATGTGTTCCAGCCCTGCTTTGTCCCATTTTCTGCCAACATAGCTGTCTCTATTAACTAAAGGTTTCAAAAAGATATGATTTTGTGATGTGTCAGATTGAAATGCATGGGTGCATGGAGGTCAACTTTTTCATCAGTGAAAGCTAATGCTGGACTGGACAGGATAAGGTCTATTTTTGGCCTTTTCTTGTGCCAGTGGGGATATTTAATGGACTTTTCTGCAAGGTTAACAGACATGTACTCAGAATGTTCCCTGTCAGCTGGGACCTTTCTAGTTCACAGGAGTTAAACAGCCAGTATTTGGACAGGTGACCTCAAAGGAAACACCAGTGATTCAGTAGGTGTGGTCCTTCCTTCTGAGTCAGTGCTGAAATGTGATGCCAAAGGATGCTCTGTTGCCAGAGGACATGATTTTTATTTGAAATATTAAAGCCAACTGGAGTATTTGTGGCTATTTACAATCCCATTATATTATACTGGATGATAATCCAGTTAGGATTAATTTATTTGGCCTCCCTATATTGCTTCTGCCAGTCAATGTCAGGAGGATACTCCTTTCCTTTCCTACACCTTTCAGAAGAAGCAGGTTGCTCCGACTAGTTGAGACATCCCAAAAGGATATTTTTAGGGTGGTGTTGAAATGTCCAGAATTGTATCTTGTGCATTTCTTCTATCAGATCAAGATCCATTTGCATTAAGGCAATACATACTGTCAATGCAAGAGCATTGAATCAAAGCATTGTAACCTTTGGCTTTTCCACCATACAGAGGGTAAATTTCCATTTAGAGCATCTTAAGGTGTACAAAATACATCCAATCACCAGGCTTGGATGGAAGAAGCTGGTGAGGGGCAGCTCCAGTTCTGAGGCAAAGCCCTAGCAGATGTGAGGTCTCTCTTGAGTATATACATAAGAAGTGTGAAGTTCTGTTGTGAAAATTGTCTTTCTGCTCCACAGGAAAGACTGAATCACAAGAGAGAGAATGGAAGAGCAATATAATAAGTGATCTATAATAACACTTCAATCTGTTGTACATAGCAGAGCATCTTGTTTATTTGCCTCACAGACTCATTTCCTGAAGCAAAGAGGTACTTAGTGACAATGCCCTTCCCTGAGGACCAACTTTCACTGCCAGCCACATGTAGGAGGCTTAAGGGGTGGCTGGAAGCATCAGGCTGCCCTGCAGCAGCAGCCACAGCACTTGACTCCCTGCCATAAATCCTTTCTCCCTGTGTTGTTTCTTGCAGGTAAACTATGACCACTTTCCTATTAGTGTTTGTGTGTTTGGGAGCCATCACCGCCGCCGGCTCTCTGGAGCTCTCAGGTACGTGCTCCAGGCTGCAGGAAAGCAGGGATGAGCAGTGGGATGTACCCTGGTCCCGTCCCTGAGCATGGGCAGCTGCCAGAAATCAGTGTACCCAGGATCTGCTCTTCGTACACACAGGGCTCTTTGGTTTGGCTGGCTGCTACGCCAGAGCCTCTCACTGTTCTTGTGTTTGGGGAGCCAGGGAGATAGCTCTAGGCAAAGGAAAATTTATGGGGAAACCAAAGGAATTTCAGCATTCTCCTTTTTAAACCCTGTCAGGTGTGATCTCATATCATGGGCAGCAGCTTCACTTCAGCACGGCCCTTCACTCCCTTCTTTCCAGCATCCAGCACTTGCCCAGACCCCAAGAGCAACTGTGGCACAGGGGTCATGGTTGCAACCTCCCTTTTTGAAAGGTATTTTCAGCAGACTAGACCAGAAAGGGTATGTCTGAGTACATGGGTACAGGTTTGCAAAGCAGAGGCATTGTAGTTTATGGAAGCACTGGGTATTTTTGGTTTAAACACATTCTTGATGTAACCACGGCTTTGTTTGGGAATTTGCAGACAGTAGTGACGGCCTGGAAGTGAAGATACCTGAGCAGTCTCCTCTGCGTGTTATCCTGGGAAGCTCCCTGAACATCCCCTGTTACTTCAACATCCCAGAAGAAGAGGACACCAGTGCCCTGCTAACCCCACGGATCAAATGGAGCAAACTCTCCAACGGGACCGAAGTTGTCTTGCTGGTGGCCACCGGTGGGAAAATCCGGCTCAACACAGAATATAGGGAGGTGATCTCTTTGCCCAACTACCCTGCCATCCCCACCGATGCCACTCTGGAAATCAAGGCGCTGAGATCCAACCACACTGGGATTTATCGCTGCGAAGTGATGTACGGGATTGAGGACAGGCAAGACACAATAGAGGTCCTGGTGAAAGGTGAGATCCTGCCCTTGCTCTCTCCTCTCAAGACCTTGCTGCCTGACCTGGGCAGAAGAGAGGAAGAAGAGCAGAGGAGGTACTGCTTCCCCATAGGCATAAACCCTTTTGGTCAGGTCATAGGTAAAGCCCTGGACAGGTGAACAGAAGCCATCTGCCAGGCATTTATTTTAGCAGGCTAGAACCAGACTAAACAAACCAGTAAAATGACTCATGGCAGAATATATGGCAATAAAATCCCTCTTCTGGCAGAAGGTGAGTTATGGAGACAGCAAGACAAAGTCCTTGGCAGGAGATGGTACTGGATATGCTGGGCACAGAGGAGAGAAGCTGAATCAGGCCTGTTATAAGACTTTTCATTTCTTCCACGTATTTTAGGAGATGGGATGCCCTCAGCTGGAGAATTGCTCTGTTCTGGAAAAACTTTCCCCATCATCTTGCAAAGCTCATCCTAGTAATAAGTGGATAAAATAACAAAAGTTTCCTACAGTCCTTATCTTTACCTTGGTTTTTGCTTTCTGTGTGGGCCAGGCAGCTTCCACTCCAACAGTTAACCAACAGGTCTCTGCTGGTCACAGGCACTGGAGTGCATCTCTGAGAGTGGAGCCTGAGAGGTCCCACCTCCTGGTGAATTTTCCACTCGGCCTAATGCCTGCTCATGAGTGTACTGGTAGCCATCCTTTATAAAGATCATTTAAAAATATGACTTAGATATGTTTACAGCAGATCTGGAGATCTGAAGTGTATTTTCCTCTTGTTATTGTTTCCTGGGTGTTTGTATGGTGGGTGACACTCTGCAGCCTTGGTCCTGAGCAGGACTCTGGGATGTGGCAGCTTTGAAACCTGCACAGCAGCACAGTCCCTGCTCTGCTGCCTTGGCTGATTTCTGAACCATGCATTTAAAACACTGCCCAGAGCTGTACCAGAAAGCACTGAGTCCTTCTGATGGTGACACAGCTCTGTGTTCTGGGCTATGCACTTCCTCCCAGAGTTTACACAACTATTCAGGTACTGGCTTTTAATGCACTGTGATTTTGTGACAACATATTGGAGAGCAGTCACTGTCCTAGGTCACCAATGTGCTCTTCAGTGTCCTGGGAATGGAGCCCATCAATTCACCCTTGGCGTGAGATGCTCAAATACAGATAATCAGCAGAAATCATTAATTGATTCTAGTTGACGTGTAGTGTCTGTTCTTTGAATCCCCAACTTCTTTGAAAGGAAAGGAGCTGGCTCCTCTCTAGCAGATCATAAAATCATAGAATCCCAGACTGGTTTGGGTTGGAAGCAACCTTAAAGATAATCTAGGTCCAATCCCCATGCACGGGCAGAGACATCTTCCACTAGACCAGATTGCTTCAAACCCCACCCAACCCGGCCTTGAACACTTCCAGGGATGGGGCATCCACAGCCCCTCTGGACAACCTGTGCTTATGTCTCACCCTCACCATAAAGACCTTCTTCCTACTGTCTAATTCAAGTTACAGAGCTGAGTGATGGCCATTGTGTTTTCCAGGCATTGTGTTCCACTACAGAGCAATCTCCACAAGGTACACCTTGAACTTTGAGAAGGCAAAGCAGGCCTGTATCCAGAACAGTGCTGTCATTGCCACTCCCGAGCAGCTGCAGGCTGCCTACGAGGATGGGTACGAGCAGTGTGACGCTGGCTGGCTGGCAGATCAGACTGTCAGGTGAGGACCAGAAAGCTGCCCCGGGGTGGTTGGGGAAGGGCTTCTGTAATGACTGAAGAGTTGAGGAGCAGTTGTTAAATAGCAGCTGCTGGTGTGCAGGGGGAGGTGGTGGGCTGCAAGCCATTCTCTGCCGGGGGGAATCAATAGTAGGAAAGCAGAGTGGCCACTGTCCTCCTCAGCTGGTGGTGACAGCTGACTGGACAATGGCTTTAATCCTGATCCTTCCTGTTCCAGGAGAAGCCATAAAGCACCATACCGCACAGTACTCAGCAGCTCCCTTCCAGCCTTGCTGGGGCTGCCAGGGTCCTGCCACCCCCTGCCCCTTACACTCCCTCTCTCCCCCAGGTACCCCATCCACTGGCCCCGGGAGCGCTGCTATGGTGACAAGGATGAATTTCCAGGAGTCAGGACCTACGGTGTCCGTGAGCCAGATGAAACCTATGATGTTTACTGCTATGCAGAGCAAATGCAAGGTGATCTGGGGCTTTTGTTGTTCCTACACACAGAAGTAGGCAAAGTTCTGATCATACCCAGACTGGACAAGGCAGGTTAAAGAGGGAAAAGCATGGCTCCCAGCAAGGCCAGATGTTCTCCACAGTCCCTTTTCTAGACCTTGAGCAATTTTAATGTCAAATGACTAATACAGTACAGAGGGTGGAGTCAGTCTAACCTCCTCTAGAAGTCATTTCATCCTGCATATCTCTGGTCATCCATTTGAGGGTGTGACATTTGGAGGTATCTGTCACCCATGCTTATGACAGAGATTCATTGAAATACTCAGCACATCAGAACTGAAACTGTCCTTTTTCTTCCTCTTGCCCTGTATCTCCAGCTGGTTTGATACATTTTGCTCCAGTCTGTATTCAGTCTGCAAGGCTCCCAAATTTCTCCTGGTCTCTATAGAGACCGTCACCATCACGGGGTTGCTGTTCAGCTGGGACTGACATGGGACTTTTTATCTTATCCAGACTCTCAGGAGTGGGAAGGGAAAAGAAAGGGGAATTGGGATTAAATTCTACAGCTAATTCCTGTGCTATTGGATGGTGTGATCACAGGTAAAGTCTTCTACGCCACCGCCCCCGAGAAGTTCACCTTCCAAGAAGCTTTCGACAAATGCCGCAGTTTGGGAGCCCGTTTGGCCACCACAGGAGAGCTGTACCTGGCCTGGAAGGATGGCATGGACATGTGCAGTGCAGGCTGGCTGGCCGACCGCAGCGTCCGCTACCCCATCTCCAGGGCACGGCCCAACTGCGGAGGAAACCTGGTGGGGGTGAGGACAGTGTACCTGTACGTCAATCAGACCGGGTACCCCCACCCCGACTCTCGCTACGATGCCATCTGCTACAGCGGTGAGTGTGGGGGGCTGTGGGGCTCAGCAGGGTGTCTCTGCACACCAGCAGGCAGGTTATCTGCAGCCTTCTGGTTATCTCGGGGTGTGCAGCTGCAGGGTACAGCCAGTTCTTGTCTGAGCATCTCGATCTAATCCTCTGGATCCCTTGAGATCCGAGAGGTGCTGACTAAAAGGAACTAGCAGGAAGATTGAATTGGAAATAAATAGAGCAGGGAAAGCTGTGTTAGGGGGAAATGTGACAGTGTGTCATCATTTCTCCCTCCCCAGCCGAGACTTGGCCTGCTGTGTATCCAAGATTTCTCCTCCCACCCTCATCTGCTCAGTTCTGGTTTATGCTGCTCTTTAAGCCACTATCCTTGCTGCAGGCTGACCTGCTCAGTGGCGTGTCAAGCATGTTCTCCTACAGCCAGGGATATGACTTGAGCAGAAAAGTGATCTGGGAGGGGAAAGATGAGAGCTGTTTGAATGTATTTATTTGGTACAGCAAGTGACTGCTTTGGCTGTCCTGGTGATGGGTGCTTAGATGTGATGAGCTCTTCAGCGCTCACCTGGGCAGAGCAGAAGGAGATCGTGATCCTGGCGAGACTTCATGCATTGAGGGGGAGGATGCAGTTTTCTTCTACAGCTCAGACCTGCTGTGGAGGTTATCCAAGCTCTCCTGCTTCCTTCTGGCCACCTTAAATTCCTTACACTAGGCACTAGAGGTCAGTGCAGACTTGGGTATGGGCAAGATGTTACCGGGAAGGAGAGCTGGGAGGAGAGCCCGGAGAATCTTCTGATATACCAGCTGTGGAGCATATGGTGGCTCATTGCTCCCAGCTCCCGAGCATGCACTCCACGCTGGAGACTTGTAGAGAACTATAGCAGAGGAAGGAAAACCATTTGTTGCACAGGACCATCATGACTTCCCTGCTCCTCTCAGAGCCAGCAAACACCCAGCTTCTCCTCTGGCAGCACCACTGCAGTACACCTTGCCAGACTGACCATGTTCCCTCTGACTCCTGCTTTGTCTCCTGGTGTAGGGGACGACGTTGGGACTCTGGTCCCAGGGCAGTTCATTGACGAGACAGGGAGCGAACTGGGCAGCGCCTTCACCATCCAGACGGTCACCCAGACTGAAGTGGAGCTCCCTCTGCCACGCAATGCCACGGAGGAGGAGGCCCGAGGCAGCATCGCCACCCTGGAGCCCATCGAGATCACACCAGCTGCCACTGAGCTGTACGAGGGCTTCACCCTCCCACCCGATCTCTTCGCTACCCGTGCCACAGCAGAGACAGCTGCCACAGAGGAGGAGAATGTGACCAGGGGGGATGTCACAGGGGTGTGGACTGTACCTGAAGAGGTCACCACCATAGCCTTAGGCACTGCCATAACCTCTGAAACAGCAGAGGTGAGCTCGGTGGAAGAGGCCACAGGGGTAACCACCACACCAGGGCTAGAGCCTGCCTCTGCCTTCACAGTGGAGGATCAGCTGGTGCAAGTGACAGCAGCCCCTGGTGTTGGTCTCCTCCCCAAGCAGCCCATCTCCCCCACAGGTAAGTCATCAGGACTCCAAGAAGCTTGAACATCAGTTTCTCCTAGCGGTGACCACTCAGCTGAATACAGTCTGAGCTTCTGCTGTCACAAAGGAAATCCAGGTCACTGGATGTGTGCAGGCCTGTTTGGGGTCAGGAACAGGCTGCGTGCCTCCACTACAGTAGAACAGGGGGGTGAGGAGGAGGCTGTGGGCCACCCCATCATGTGCCGAACAGGGCTCAGCAGGCTGATGTTTGGGGCAGCCATGGTCACACTCTGCACTCCCATGTGCATCTGGCTCCAGGAAGGGGAAAGACAGGGTAGGAAGACCCTAGAGAAGGGCTAAAGAGATAGCCAGAACATCACCCTTGATGACAGCAGAGCTCAATGAACCCATCTCCATCAAAGTGGGTTTGACAGGCATTGGTTGAGAAGACCCTTTCTGGTCATGTATCTTGGTGGAGGGGAGGTCCTGTAACTGCTGTCTCACCACGGCTTCTCTTCCCCCAGGTGTGGTGTTTCACTACCGAGCTGCCACCAGCAGATATGCCTTCTCCTTCGTCCAAGCCCAGCAGGCCTGCCTGGAGAACAACGCGGTTATCGCCACCCCCGAGCAGCTCCAGGCGGTGAGGAGGAGGCTGTGGGCCACCCCATCATGTGCCGAACAGGGCTCAGCAGGCTGATGTTTGGGGCAGCCATGGTCACACTCTGCACTCCCATGTGCATCTGGCTCCAGGAAGGGGAAAGACAGGGTAGGAAGACCCTAGAGAAGGGCTAAAGAGATAGCCAGAACATCACCCTTGATGACAGCAGAGCTCAATGAACCCATCTCCATCAAAGTGGGTTTGACAGGCATTGGTTGAGAAGACCCTTTCTGGTCATGTATCTTGGTGGAGGGGAGGTCCTGTAACTGCTGTCTCACCACGGCTTCTCTTCCCCCAGGTGTGGTGTTTCACTACCGAGCTGCCACCAGCAGATATGCCTTCTCCTTCGTCCAAGCCCAGCAGGCCTGCCTGGAGAACAACGCGGTTATCGCCACCCCCGAGCAGCTCCAGGCGGCCTACGAGGGCGGCCTCGAGCAGTGCGACGCGGGCTGGCTGCGGGACCAGACCGTCAGGTACGGCTGCACGGCCTGGGGAAGGCACCTCAGAATCACCATTTAGCCATGAAATCAAGGCTTTGCACTCATCTGTCCTGCGCTGCTCCGCTCATCTGCATCTAAAGGGCTCCTGACCTAAGGTTGTCTCCAGGCCATGATATCTAGAGGCCAACAGACCCCTTCTTCTCAACCTGCCCTAGCTCTGCCCTGCCCTGTGCACACCTTCTGCTGTGCTGAGCTGCCCTGACATGTAGAGAAGTGAAGGAAGGTTTGTACTCATTGCCCCAGGCTGTAAGTGGGCTTGTTTCTGAGTCACGCTGGGGGCTCTGAGCATCTCTAATGGTGAAGCATTTGTGTCCTGCTCCCAGATACATCGAGGTTCTTCACTCCAGGATACATAAGGCTGACCTTGGGTGACCTCCTCTCTTCTTCTTTTGGTAGGTATCCCATTGTGAATCCCCGAGACAACTGCGTAGGAGACAAAGAGAGCTCTCCAGGCGTGCGGTCGTACGGCATGCGCCCGGCCTCGGAGACCTACGACGTCTACTGCTACATTGACAGGCTCAGGGGTACGTTCTGCCCCTTCCTATGGGCACAGCTGCGGAGCAAAACTGTGCTTCACTCCTCGTCTGCATGTGCGTGGGTGGGAGGCAGGGACTCACGACTCTCTTCTCTCCCATCCCTCAGGTGAGGTGTTCTTTGCAACCCAGCCAGAGCAGTTCACCTTCTCAGAAGCTCAGCAGTACTGTGAGACCCAAAACGCCACACTGGCCTCAGTTGGCCAACTCCACGCAGCCTGGAAGCAGGGCTTGGACAGATGCCACGCTGGCTGGTTGGCTGATGGCAGCCTCCGTTACCCTGTCGTCAGTCCCCATCCCGCCTGCGGGGGGGGTGTGCCCGGCGTCAGAACCATCTACCAGCACTACAACCAGACGGGCTTTCCCGACCCGCTGTCCCGGCACCACGCCTTCTGCTTCAGAGGTACCTTCCCACCCCTGCAGGGCGTGTAGACTGATCTCCCTGGGGAAAGGGACGGGGTGGGAGTTTGGACAAAGCACTTCACCAGCATCTTGGATTGGATTTTTTGAAACTCCCTCCAATACCTTTTTTGTTCCAGCTCTGCCACCTGTGGAGGAGGAGGGGGTGACCTCGTCCTTTGAAGAATATGTGTTAGCAACCCAAGTGATCCCTGGAGTGGAGGGGGTACCCTCTGGGGAGGAGGTGACCATGGAGACGGAGCTTGCCACTCAACCTGAGAATCAGACAGCCTGGGGGACAGAGGTCTTTCCAACTGATGTGTCACTGCTCTCAGGTGAGTCAGAGCTTCCTCATCTTCTGTGTCCCACTTGGCTGGTGTTGTAGGGTTGGGACGCTCCAAAAATAAATACGTTGTGTCCTGGCTGAAGGGGATTCCCTCTAAATCCAAACAATTATCACCATATTAGCACAGCCTGAGGCTGTGTACACAGGTGCCACAGGAGGAGCTACACCTGTATATTAATTAACTTTTGTCTGGAACTGAAACAATGACCAGCCCTCCTTCCCTGCTGCAGAGCAGCACTGCCAGAGCACCCTACAAAACACCTTGTTGTGTATGAGGGATGGGGAAAGCAGGCAACAGACAGACCTCAGGGAAGACAGAGCTGCCCTGTGGTCAGAGCAGCACCAAACTTGTTCTCTTCCACATCTTATCACCTAGGAAGCAGTAGCTTGATTTTTGTGCATGGGAATTGATGTCACTCTTGCCATTATCCATTGTCAGATGGTTATATATTCTGTCAGTTTATCAGAGATACATAATTTATATTTATTTAAGATAAAACGTTCATTAACAATTTTTTAGGGACCAAATTATTTCTGCAAGCACACGGGACTTTGTGCCTTTATCCCAAAAGGATCAGTTTGGAGGTAAAGTCAATCAGGATATTGTTAATAGCATCTTTAACAAAATTTAGTAAATAATTTTCCTATCTCCCTCTTTGTTCACCCTTTATTTTCCAGTGAGTCCACCTGCTTTTCCTCCAGCTACCATAATACCAGAGGAAACAAGTACCAATGCTTCTGTCAGCCAAGTGTCAGTGGAGGTGACTGTGTCTGGAGAACATCAAGTCAGTGGTGAATCTTCAGCATCCGGGTGGGCATCTGGAGTCCCAGATACAAGTGGAGAACCAACTTCTGGAGTTTTTGAACTTAGTGGAGAACACTCAGGGATTGGAGAAAGTGGATTACCATCGGTAGACCTGGATACCAGTGGCTTTCTACCTGGAGAGAGTGGGCTACCTTCAGGGGACCTGAGTGGGGCACCTTCTGGCGTTGTTGACATCAGTGGCTTAGCTTCTGCAGAGGAAGATGCATCAGTGTCTATTTCAAGGATACCAGAAATTAGTGGGATGCCATCTGGAGTGGAAAGCAGTGGGCTGCCTTCTGGATTTAGTGGAGATATCTCTGGCACTGAGCTAGTCAGTGGCATGTCATCTGGAGAGGAAAGTGGACTCACCTCTGGTTTTCCTAATATCTCTCTTGTGGATACCACGTTGGTGGAAGTTGTCACAACAGCACCAGAACGGCAAGAGGAAGGAAAAGGAGACATTGGAGTCAGTGGTGAAGGAGATCTGTCAGGGTTCCCATCCACTGACTGGGGCATCAGTGGTGGAGCCCAAGGGTTACCCTCAGGAGCTGAGCTCAGTGGGGAGCCCTCTGGAGAGCCTGAGCTCAGCGGGTTGCCCTCAGGCCTGGATGTCAGTGGAGAACCATCTGGAACTCATGAGGCCAGTGGCCTGGTGGACCTAAGTGGCCTTAGTTCTGGTGTTGATGGAAGCAGTGAGGCCTCGGGCGTTACCTTTGTAGATGCCAGTTTGGAGGAAGTGACAACGAGCCCCTCAATTACAGAAGCAGAAGCAAAAGAGATTTTGGAGACCAGTGGATTGCCTTCAGGAGCTGAAGATATATCAGGCATGGTATCTGGGAGTTTAGATATCAGTGGTCAGCCTTCTGGGCAAGTAGACTTTGGTGGGAGTGTTTCTGGAGTGCCTGATGTGAGTGGAGTGATTGAGAGCAGTGGAGAAATCTCTGGAGTTGATGTCACCAGTGGCCTCCTGTCTGGAGAGGAAAGTGGACTCACCTCTGGCTTTCCCACGGTCTCTCTTGTGGATACCACTTTGGTGGAAGTTGTAACACAGACATCAGTTGCACAAGAAGTGGGAGAAGGACCATCTGGGATGATAGAGGTCAGTGGATTTCCTTCTGGAGACAGAGGACTATCTGGAGAAGGGTCTGGAGCTGTGGAGTCCAGTGGGTTTACTTCAGGGACAGGAGACTTCAGTGGGGAGCCATCTGGGATCCCGTACATCAGTGGAGACATTTCTGGAGACACAGATCTAAGTGGACAATCTTCAGCAGTGACTGATATTAGTGGGGAGGCCTCAGGGCTGCCAGAAGTCACTTTAGTCACATCTGATTTATTAGAAGTTGTGACAAGACCAACAGTGTCACAGGAACTGGGTGGGGAAACAGCTGTCACATTCCCCTACATTTTTGGGCCAAGTGGGGAGGCCTCTGCATCTGGTGAACCAAGTGGGGAAACGTCTGCATTGCCAGAAAATGGTATAGAAACATCAACAACTTATGAAATCAGTGGGGAAACATCTGCATTTCCTGAAACTAGTGTAGAAACATCCACAATTCAAGAAATCAGTGGAGAAACGTCTGCATTTCCTGAAACTAGTGCAGAAATGTCCACAATTCATGAAATCAGTGGGGAGACATCTGCATTTCCTGAAATTATCATAGAGACATCTACAAGTCAAGAAGCCAGGGGTGAAACATCTGGCTATCCTGAAATTTTCATCGAAACATCCACAGTTCAAGAAGGAAGTGGGGAAACCTCTGCATTTCCTGAAAGTAGCACAGAAACTTCCACCATTCAAGACATCAGTGGGGAAAGTTCTGCATTTCCTGAAATTAGAATAGAAACCTTCACAAGTCAAGAGGCCAGAGGTGAAACATCTGGCTATCCTGAAATTAGCATAGAAACATCCACAGTCCATGAAATCAGTGGTGAAACATCTGCCTTTCCTGAAATTAGCATAGAAACTTCAACAGTCCATGAAATTAGTGGGGAAAGTTCTGCCTTTCCTGAAATTAGAATAGAAACGTCCACAAATCAAGAAGCCAGGGGTGAAACATCTGCCTTTCCTGAAATTAGCATAGAAACTTCGACGGTCCATGAAATCAGTGGGGAAAGTTCTGCATTTCCTGAAATTAGAATAGAAACTTCTTCAAGTCAAGAAACAAGAGGTGAAACATCTGCCTTTCCTGAGATTAGCATAGAAACTTCTACATTCCATGAAGTCGGTGGGGAAACCTCTGCATTCCCTGAAATTAGAATAGAAATACCAACACATCAAGAAGCCAGGGGTGAAACATCTGCCTATCCCGAAATTACCATAGAAACATCCACAGTTCAAGAAGTAAGTGGGGAAACCTCTCTGTTTCCTGAAATTAGAATAGAAACATCCACAAGTCAAGAAGCCCGGGGTGAAATATCTGCATTTCCTGAGATTAGCATGGAAACATCCACAGTCCATGAAACCAGTGAAGAAACATCTGCATTGCCTGCTGCTAACATCAAAACTGTTGCCACATCTTTGGCCAGTGGGGAGCTCCCTGGTGCTCCTGAGGAGAAGGAAATTCCTGACACAACATCTGGAGCTGTGACACACTCAATTGCAGGCATTTTAGGGGAAACCTCTGTCCCAGACATTGTAATTAGTACCAGCACTCCAGATGTTGAACCAACAGAGCCACCCAGGAACCCTGAAGAGGCTCAGCTTGAAATAGAGCCCTCCCCTCCTGCGGTGTCAGGACAAGAGATGGAGACAGCTGTTGCTCTAGACAATCCTCATCTGCTGGCCACCACTACTGCTGCCCTGCCTCAAGTGTCACAAGATGCAATAGATGCATTAGGACCCACTACAGAAGGTACTGTGTCTTCTTCTTGTATGGAAGGGAACATGCTATGGAGGGGAGGGAGGGGGCACAGTTTTCATATTTTGCTTCTTCCACAGCAGAGAACATTAACACAAGAGCAGGTTTGAGCAAAATATTACTGTGGTGGGAAGCCATAAATGTGGGGTTTTCCACAGGTCATGTTCAATAGCTTCTGTCTTAACAAATGATAGTCTGTGGGCAGGTAATGTAATTATCCATCCAGTGTGACCACATCCCCAGAAGCCTCCTGGACTTCTGTCCTGCCTGCCCTCAGCAATTATATGCCCTTGGGGACAGCAGTAGAACACCAGTTCAAGGAAAGCACCAGGAGATGTTTGTCTGGCCTTCTTCCACTGCACCACAGCAGTAGGCACCAGCCAGTCCTCTGAACTGCCCTTCCTGGTGGACATGGCTGCAACCCAGCCATGATGAGCAGCTCAGTTGACCTGGAACCTGCCAGGAGCATGATGAGGGTATAATCTGGTACCCAGGAGATCACCGGGACTTAGGTGAGCTCTCCCCTCTGTGCTGCCAGAGGTGAGGACTCAAAAAAGAGTATTCTGTGAGTGGTCATTGAAAGTTGCTGTGACCAGGCTCCTGGACATGATCCAGCTGGGGCACTAGGGCATTCACTCCCCCTCTGAAATTCCTCTGAGCCACCAAGACAGTCTAGAGAAAACATCATTTTTCACATGTGGAAAAAAGAGCAAAGAAGGATCCACCCACCAGAGACTTCCTCCTTGGCTCGTGGATGCAGCTGAGAAGTTGGAGAAGAAGGGCTGCAAGTGTCTGTCCAGTTCTGTTTCTCCTTTTGTGATGTACTGACTTGCTGCTGCATCCCCCAGTGTCCCATCGTACTTGCTCCAGCACGGGAGGCTGCCCATCAGCAGCTCTGCAGTGCCAAGGGGTAAGAGGCAAAGCAAGTCAGCTGGGGACAAAAAACCTCTGCTCTCAGCATCATGTGGGCTGAGTATAATGTTTGCATCAGACAAAATGTCCCCTTGGCAGACTGTGATTGCCCTCTGGTCTGTGTCTTCTGCTGCTCTCTGCAGCTAGGACAAGTTAAATGTGTAAGACAATGCTCAGAACATCACTACCTTTTGTCAGCTCTGCTGAGAAATGCCCTTCCTTCCACCCTGCCCCTTTTTGGTGTTCCAGCACTCTGTCTTTGGTAGGACTCCTTGTTGCCAAGTAAGAGACACAATATGTAAATCTGAGTAGCCATTTACAGCAAAAAAGTTCCACTGGCTTTCTGACAAGCATCCCCTGAGCAGTGTTCATGTGCTGTGGGGGCAGTAGGATACTGCAGTGATGAGAAAATGAGATGAGATGTTGTTGTGCTTGCTGGTGGCTGCTTCTTAGCCAATGGAGGAGCCCAGTCCCAGTAACACAGGATGTCCCATGACATCCCTGGCCATGGCTTGATTTCGTTTTGCTGGCATCAGGAGCAGAGTCCTGGGGGATAGGCCCCTTCTCAAAACTATCAGTGCTTACGTATGAAGGTCCTACATATGCTCAGTATTCAACAGACCACACATTCATGTGGCTTATATGGGTTACAAAACGTATATGCAAGAGATTTTCTCAGTTCCTTCTGCCAAAAGTAATATCAATTCCATCCCCTTTTCCCAATACCTCCGCAGCTGCTTCTTTTTGGTTCATTTACACCATTCAGCAGAGGTAGCTCTGGGCTCACAAAGGGTCTCTAAGTGCAGTGCTTTGTGATGCTCAATCTGGTTTCTGACTTAATTTCCATCCCTGAATTGTTCTGGATGAGTCACTGCATTTCCCTCTGCACTAGGTCTCTCCCTCTGAGAAAAGAGGTAATCACAGCCCTTTGTTCAGTCCTGCTCCTGATACATTGGAGTTCCTGGCCTGTCTCTGCTGAGCAGCTGCAGCAGTGGGTGAAGGCACCTCAGCAGGGTTGTTCCTGTGGTGCTGGTCCAGCCTGGCACCACATCCAGGGCTTGGCAGGATGCTGCCACAGCTAGGCACCCAAAAGCCCTCCTTGCTCACCTCATGGGCTTTGCTTTTGGGCCGTGCCTACTGCCACGTCCAAGCCTGGAGACAAACACAAGGCAGGGCTGAGGGAAAGAAAGGAAAACAGCAAAAAGGCTGAGGAAAAAAAAAAAAAAAAAGAAAGAAATTGGCCCCAAAGTATGGTTTTATTTCACTGCTTTTTCTTTTTATAAATTACCCACAAGGCAATTGCCAGATTCTTCAGAGTATTTGTTAGCCAACATTCTTGTGAAGTATTTTGAAAGAAAACCATGTGTTCAGCAGCTCATGTGTGAAGAAGCTTGAAAAATGTTCTGAAATTGGAACACGTGTGTTCGTGAGTCATGGAGATGAGGCTGTAGCAGCTGGGGTTTCTTAGCAGGTGACAGGGAGAAGTAAGCGACGACTGCATGAAGTTTAATTGTAGACCCGTTAAAAACTAGGGATGGGCTTGAGTAGATGTTCGTGGTTGGTGCTCCCAGCAGGGAAGATATTCTAGGCTAAAACTTCTTTTTTTTTATTGGTTAGCTTCTTGACTACAGTGTCACTGTAGGGTTATATGCAGTCCTGGTCAGGATCTGAAGGAAGCTCATCCAGGTGGCAAGAAAGTGTATTGACCATGAACTTGCAACAAGATTTACTTCTTCCACAGAATTAGAGCAAAGTGATGACAAAAGAAATCAGAGGGGAAAAAAAAAAGAAGAAAAAAAAGGAAAAATTATCCCAGATTTCCTTTTTTGGGTCGTTACTCTTTACAGTGCTCTGGGGATTGTGAACATGGCAATTCTACAAGGAAGAACTGAAGGCTGGAACCCAAAATGCAGTTTCCCATGCTGTGGCTGCCTTTTCACCTGAAGTTTCCCAGTCTTGAAACGTAGCTCTTACAAAAAGATCAGATCTAATGTCTGTGCCTTGTGCTGTGCTCAGAGTTTGTAGGGTGTAATGGTTGTCCATTAAGTTCAATTAATTTTGACTAACAATAAAGCATGGGTGAAGCTACCTCAGCTTACAGAAGGAGCTTAGAGCAAGGAGCAAGAAGGCATGTGGCTGTTGCCCCTCTTGTCCTGTTGTTGAAGGGCTCTAGTTCAATCTAGCAGTCTTTTTTTGTGGGATGATGTATGAAGAATTACATTTTTCTGCTCTACTGTAGCCTCTACTCCTCTCTAAAAGCCAGAGCCAGAAGCACAAGAAGACCAAAGATTAACAGTTGGAGTGCCAGTATTTTTTAGCATTTAAACAAATTGAAGGCTATGTGCACATGTCTTTAGTCAGCAGTTTGATTTCTCTGTGAGGACAGGAACCCCACAAGCTTGAAGAATTGTCCATAGGCTTGGCTTCTTCATCCAGCTTTTTGCCAACTCAGCAGGCCTTTTTGCTTCTGGTAACATCTGAAGATGGATAATTATTAGCTGAAAAAAGCATGCTGGCTCTTCAGTGCAAGGCTGTGGTTTGGAGCATTCTGACCAGTCAATGACTTAAAAATTTCACTCAAGTTGGAGGAAAAAAGAGAAATGTGCTGAAGGGGCAGCTATTTATGTTAAGTTTTGCTTGTCTCTGGTGAAATGAGCTCATGAAATCTGCTGCCTATGACACAGCTGAAGGTTAGAGCCCAAATAAGGAAAGTTCTTGATGGGCTTTACTCATTCTTCATGCCCTTGAAGTCCAAGGGATAGAGTTTCGGTGGTCCAGAGAAGATCAACTCAGAAGAAAAATGTCTAAAAAAACATTCATCTGATCATCAAGTTTCACCTGATGTGGAATGAAGAAGATGGAGGTACTAATCCTGGCTGAGAGACAAGCACAGACCATGTCTGGATGAGCAGATGATTTTGTGTCCTGGATAGATTGTCTATTTTGCATCAGAAGTTTATTAGCTTAATTAAAAGCTCTCTCTGAAGGGGCAACCTACAGTCCTGAACTCATTTTATATGTGTGTCAATGTTTCAGAAACCAAGATGTCCACATTTCATGAGCTCTCCTTCCATGAAAGTGTTGAACACATTGAAGGTCCCAGCAGATCAGCAGGTTCTCCTGGAAACTTGCTGTTCTCTAGATGCCTATAGCTTTTCAAGGCTGTAGCAATATCTGCCCTTTCTGCATGGAGGCTTTGGTTTAATTTTTGTAGTTAATTATTTTAATGACTTAATTGCTCATCAGAAGTCACTAGCTGGCAATGTGGTGTTTGATGCCAGCATTTTTACATATTACTTAAAATGTGAGAGAAGTGTTTTTCCCGACTCCTCCTTTTCTTGCAGGAGTCACCCTATAATCTCTCCAATAATGTTCTTAGCTGTTTGAGCTAGCAGATGGGCAGCTCAAACTTCCCAGCACTCTCTGAAAAACAAAGTTAATTTGTACCTGGATCGTTGGGGTTTTTTTCCTGTCTCTAGAAGATCATTATCTAGCTGGTCTCTTGAGTCCCTCTTTGGATAACTGCAGTTACAAGGAGGTCTGTAAAAGAAAGGGTGCAGAACACAACAGAGACTGTTGGATATCCTGAAAATGTCTTGCCTTTCTGTCTTGCTTTTTCATCTCTGCTGAACAAAACCAGGAGTCTAAATCCTGAAGCCTAAACTGGTTACTCACAGCTTCAGGAAAACCAGACAGTTTGTTCAGGATTTGGGTGACAGCACCTCTCTGTTCACAAGCTGCTTCTCCTCAGTAGTTGTTTTAAGCACAAAGCTGACTTCGCTTAATGGGTATTCTTGCTCATCTTCCATACAGCTCCCACTGAGGGAAATGCACAGAATGTGTTGTTTTAAAAAGTGTTAGCATTGTTTCTAGTATTGTCTTCTTAGCTTGGGATGAAGGCTTTTAAAAGCATTTCCTTCCCACTGCCTCTTCACTTTTGCATGCCATTTGCCTTCTGAGCAAAACCAGGACCAATCTATTTCTCTTTCATTTCTAAAGGATTTCTCTTTCCAATTTTAAATGAGCTAGTACAGCAAAATTGTTTTCAAAAGACATTGGGAGAATACTTATGTCAACTTTATCTGCAGCAAAAGAAAATAGTTCTGACTAAATATAGTTTGTATCTGGCAACACAAAAGAAATCTTAGAAAGAAAATGGGGAAACAAATTCAAAGCTTGCATTGTAGCTATGAAACTCCCCTTGCTTTCTCCAGCCAACAGTTTACATCTTCCAGATGGAAGACCCTGTTTACATTGGATATATTACTTTGAGCATTTTATGTTTTAAAAAATACATAGAAGACAGACATTGGGTCCTGTTAGTAGCAGAAGAATAGAAATTGGTGTGACAATAGGTTTGAAAAACCTTTTGCAACTTCTGGGTGATATTAACTGCAGTATGAATTGTCTTCCAAAGAGCTGCTAATTTTGCATTATGCTCAAGAAGTGAGTTAATACATTCTAAATGGGCTTCCTATTCCTGGCACTGCAAGGCGTTTTGTCCCGACCTTGTTTTAGAGCTGAAGCATTTGAAAGCAGGAGCTGCCTCTGTTTTGCATCCCCTGCTGCATCCCTGTCCTTTGTTAGGGTAATAATCACAGTAGCCTTGTCTTCTTGAGCTGCTTCTCAAAGCAGAGCTGACTCTGAGTGACTGCTCACCCAGGCAAATAAATAGCTGGGATCTGTGTGAGATCCTGGGGTGGTGGAGGCAGCTGTGCTGTGGAAGGAGGGGAGCTCACACCAGGCTGAGCAGAGCTGGCACACCTTGAGTGCTGCAGGCTTTTCAGCTGGCTGGGGAGATGTACAGTGATTTACTAACCTCATCTGCCTCTAAACTCTGTGGAGGAGGACACATTCATGGCTTACAAAAGGTTATGAAGAAAATGCCCAAGCATTGCATGCTGGATGGGAGGTATTGGACTTTTGTTTCTTTTACTGGAGTTCTCACCTCCTGTAAATCCTATGGCTTTGATGCAATATCCTAGAAACACCCACAAACCAGCTTGCCGGGGTTTCCAGAGACAACATCGCTGCCAATTTTGCTGTTTAGAACTTACTTTTCAAAAAGATCTCCAAGACCTAGATTTCCCAGAAGGACCAGAACCCCCAACTTTTCCTGCAACCTGGCTGGTATGTTTGAGCTTCCTGATATCAGCTTAGTGAAGTGATTCTGCATCCAGATGGAATAGTGTCACTGCCCCAAAAGCCTGAAGGGGAACTTTGGTATCATCTTGTGTTTAAAACATCTATTTCCAGCCATTTGCTTCTAGGAAAAAAAACCAACCAGTCTCCCACTTTTGTTTAGTGTCTGTTTTTCCAACATTATCTACAAGTACACACACTTTCTCTACATGTCTTATATAAAAATATATGTGTACGTATGGAGAGATCTATAACATATATGTTATATGCAGAGATTTGTTTTTGCAGCATATATAATATGTGCAATCATATTATATGCAATATCTGTAAAGCAAATTCTGTTCCAGTGTTATTTCCCAGCTGGAAATCTGTGGCAATGACTTTGCATGTGTGTGCCTGCTCCCTCCTCCTCCAAGACCAGAGATGGCAACTCACAGCAGGTCTCCTGCACCTCAGAAGAGATCTGGGACATGCCAAGTTCTAGTCCACATGACTGAAGACAGCTGAAGACTCACTATTCCCTGCTAAATGTTCTGCTCTAGCTCTCGTGTATGCTTCGTTCCTACGTCTGCACCTTCCCACCTCATGGAGCCTAATGGACAAAGGAGAGCCACTCCTTACTTGTTCAGCTGGAGCCCACTGGAATCAACATGACCTATGAAGACTCACTATTCCCTGCTAAAAGTTCTGCTCTAGCTCTCATGTATGCTTCGTTCCGACGTCTGCATCATGCTTCCCACCTCATGGAGCCTAATGGACAAAGGCTGAAGACTCACTATTCCCTGCTAAATGTTCTGCTCTAGCTCTCGTGTATGCTTCGTTCCTACGTCTGCACCTTCCCACCTCATGGAGCCTAATGGACAAAGGAGAGCCATTCCTTACTTGTTCAGCTGGAGCCCACTGGAATCAACATGACCTTCTGCTGTCACTGCTGTTGGGAAGCACAAGGGGGTTCTGGAGTTGTAATCATCCCTCAGGATACTTTGTTTTCTTTTAGGCTCTCCGTATTCTAGGAACTCCAAGGGTGACTAACAAGCAATACCCAGCCAAGTTCAATCCTTCACTTCTGTTAGATCCATGACCCCCGTTCTGTTCTGGAAAGTATTTATCAGTGTCATGGAAACAGGATCTCCAGTTCTCTTCATGTTGCAGTGAACAAGGCAATCCAGAAGGCATTCATGAGTATTTAAAAGGGCAATCCAGAGGAAAAAATTCCTCCTTTCAGAGAAGATCTGCCAAGCTGGAGTAAATAGTTCATCAGCCATCTGAAGAATAATTGCATTGCTCACAGTGATACAACCTAGAATAAAGATGACAACCTTCATGCTCCAAAGCACAAACCGATGTATCACCCAAGGTCAGAAGGAGTTTTCTCCACCACTTAGGCACGTTAGAGAATATGTCCTCTCTTAGCTGACATATCAGACATTGGCCACTGAGTGATTAAACAGCCCCAGGGGGTATAACATGCATCTGCTCTCATGTGCCTGGGGACACTTGAGCAGCCAGGCCACTGTTCTGCATGGACACAACAAGCAACTGAATATACACCAATCAGAAGATGAGCACAGACCCTGGGGACTCGCTGCTTTGCTCTGGTTTTTCCGTAGCCAGCATGTTTATCATCTTTGAAGGTCTCCTCACTAACCCTTCTCATCCACAAGAAGAGCATGGAGTGTTAGTACTTCTGAAGCCTCACATTTCTTCTGAGTGCGGAAGAGAAATCTTGTCAAACCAGCCATCATTTAACCTAACCTGCATGGGTGTGCTCCCACTTCCTTCCTTAGTCTTCCTTCATGCTTCTGAGTTGAACATCTCTGAAATCTTTCCATTCTGAATGGCTCTTCTTCTGATTCCAAAGCTCAGTAAGTAGGATTAAGGCTAAGTCTGGAGATATACTGAGAGAAGAGCTTTTACTTCCAGCACAAGCTAGATTTTATAATATATAGATACAAACTGGCTATCTGTGGCCTTCTCCAGAGCATTTATGCTCTAATTAGCAAGTTGAGAAACACTGGAATGTTGGAGACCAAACTCTTCCCACAACAACTTCTCTTCCAGAAAAGTAGAAAGAATCTGAAGGGCTGCTCTAGGTGGGAAACTAAGAGCAGTCTCCTCCACAAGAAGTTGAGAGTCTCTGAACCATCTTTAAACCCACCTCCTTTCTTCCCTGCACCTTCTTCATCTTCAGCAAGATTTCTTGTCCCTGAAACTTCATCTAAATTATGGTTAGGAAGAAAGAAGTAGTGAGTACTGGCCCCAGGAAGTCCGGTTAGGAGACAGAAATCAAGTTCTGGATGTTTCCATGACTTACGAGAATTCCACGTCCTTCCTCAAAGGCATATAGCTAGTGGAGACACATGTTCAATCCATCAAGCAGAGGCAGCAGACAAGGAAGAGTTACCATAGCTGCTGAGCTTCTCCAGCTGTCTTCAGAGTGATGTTCAACCAGCAAGTGACAGAAAACCAATGTCTCCCTTGTAGGGTGGGTTGGGTCTCTCACCTTCATTCTTGCAGCAGCAGCAGTGGCAGCATGTTTTAGAATAAGACCCTAGCAACTCCCAGGTTCCCCCCAAAACAACTGCTGTTCCCTCCTAAACGAGCAAGGAAACAAGTTCTCCCGTTGTCTGCCCAGAGCCCTAATGGAAGCCCTTGATTTCTTGCAGACACTGATGAGTGCCACCCAAGCCCCTGTCTGAATGGAGCCACCTGCGTTGATGGCATCGACTCTTTCAAATGCTTATGCCTTCCCAGCTACGGAGGGGACCTGTGTGAGATCGGTACGGCCTCCCTGGCTTCAGCTAATCTTACTAACTGCTGCACCACCTCCTTTCCACCCTTCCCCCCCCCAAAAAAAAAGCTGTTCCTGGGTGCCTCCATCAGTCCTGCCCTCATCTCAGTGAGCTAACCTCTAACAGCAGCTTGAAACAGAGTAGGGAAAAGCTTTGAGAGTTTTACTTGTGTATTTTGACTCCTTTGTTCAGCACAGCACCGTGTCCTCTAAGATTCCTAAGCAGGAGCTCCTGGTGTCTTCTTCAGGTTTCTCTGTTTAAAGTTTCTCTAGTGAGGCTTCAAACAGCTTGTAACAGTGTGGATCACAGAAGTCACTGCCTCTTTGGGTCAAGAGTCTTTCTGTTCATCTGTAACAGTAGGGACACATCTGAGTACATCTTCACCCCAGGCAAACTTTCTCTGCTAGACTGGAATTTCATGGAAGGATGTTTCAACTGAGCCATGCAAAATTATTGTGTTTCTTTCTGTGAAGATGCAGCTGAGAGAAGCCTCATTCACTCCAGGAATCTCCACCGATTTGACACAGCATGACATTTTTGTCATCTCTTCAATGTGGCTTCCTGTGGTAAAACCAGCAGGGAATGTATATCTTTGAGAAAATGTGAAGTGACCTATTTTTCCAACAAAATTAGGTACTCTGACCTGCACTAATACTTCTTTTTGTTTCTACAAGGAAAGAAAAAAAGGGTTGTGTTTTTTTTCTTGAAGCTGATGAAAGCCCAAACTTTTATCAGCTTAGCTGAGGGGAAGCTCTCCTGCCTTGCTCAAACAAAAGAGGGAAAAGGTTGCAGTGTCTTCTTCACCATGAGTAATGATGATCTTTATTGGATTGTCTCCTCTCCTTCCTCTGTGTCTCTCTTTCTGCTTCCAATATGATCACATGGAGTAGACCAGGAGAAAACAGCTCAGACCATCTGTCTCAACATCACTTTCCTAAGGCAATCTCATCAGGCTCTGACTTCCCCTCCCTATTGCTGAAGAACCCTGTAAGAGAACAAGAGATTTTCTACCCTGCAGCCACTTAAAACCTTGTTTATTCCAAGCCAGACTTAATTTCCTCTCTTTTGTGACTTATGGGCTGTGATGCCTGGTGCCCACAGCCCGGGAAATGCAAGGAGGAAGCCAGTGCCCCAAATTTGGTGGTGAATGTAAATCTTCATTTTGCCCATGAGGAAACCTTCCATTCCATAACATCTATTGGTCTCCAAGAACAGCAAGACACCATAGGTGAGCTTTGCCATCTTGCACACAGCCAAACCTTCTTGCCAACACGACAATGTCCCTGCCAGGGAACACACTTCTCGGCGTTCTTTTCCAAGACAATCACTGTCATATTTCCCCATAAGTAACAGTTATGTAGGAAAGAGT